CGGTGCCGACCGCAGGAATCATGGGCTGGGGCTGAGGGGCAATCGCCGCCCTTCCCTCAGGGAGCCACCGACGTGAGGGCTGAGGGAGTCCGAAGATGTAATTGGGGATTTCTCCTAATGAGTTGGGAAGCCTGACTTAATCAGTGCAATGTGTCTAGCAGTCAAACCAGAAAGACGCTCTCTCCATAGTACAGGACTATCAGCAGTTGTACGCTAGGTGCAGTATTATTTATAAAATGACTGGTTTATCGCATCAACAAGCTGATTTATTCATCTCCATCTTTGTGACGTTCATACAGACAGGTCAGTTGAGTTTTATTTTTTTAATTCTCTTTTGTCTTTAGGCTTGTTAACTGCCAAGGGTCCCATTCCACACTCCTGCGAATTGTGCGGTATCCTAGTTACTGTTCTCTGAGTGCTTATTTTTAACCAAGTACTGAAACTTCCACAATTCACACTGTTAATTGGCTGACACTGCCTGGCCAGTGAGAAATGTCTTAGATCAGACTTTAACTGTCTGCTTCGTATTTAAAGCTAATACTTGTAGTCCCCTGAGGACAAGAAAAGGAGAAGGGAAGCAAGACAACACAGAGATGGGGTCAGTTAAGAAAAGGTGGGAAGACAAATCCATTTATGCTACAGGCAAATACAACAACCAAAAAGCTCCTAAACCTTTTCTTCAGTATTGCCCCCTCCTCTCTGAAAGTCATTTCTTAGTGCAGTACGGACGGATGAAGTGCATGGTGCAGACAAAGTGTACTCGTTCTTAGTGCAGTAATTCCTTCGGTACAGGCACTAAACCAGTCTGCTTGCAAAGAAAGAGTTACACCCTCTGTGCTGTCACTCGTTCTCAGTCGTTTCCTTGGACGGAGTGAGCTGGAACCATCTTCTGTCCGTACAATAAATGGGATTTCTCCATAGTTCCTCCGGTCCTTCAGCAGAACGCGGTCACAGACCCGTCAGCACTGCACCTGCGAGCTGTTAGCAACGCTCCTCCACTTGGGCACGTTCTTTGCACGGTGAAGCCGGTTTCACATCAGCACGTCCGTTGCCAGCTCTGCTCCTTACCAGGCTATAAATAAGCAGGTGGCTTCTTGCTATTTCTTGATCAGGATTAAACACGCTCATAATCAGACATCTTTGGGATGAGAATGGGCTTCTAAGGACCAACATCAACCTTGGCTTTGAGGATTCTGTGATAAAAACTGATGCTTCAAAAGGCCTGAATTAATACACCTATGGGAATCACCTGAGCCCATTTTTATAGCTTTTTATAAAACCCCTTGGTTTACTGCAGTTCGTTCTTTCATTCTGCCCTGTATTTCACAGTTCACCTCCGTCTGCAAATGTCATTTTTTTGGTCCATTCTGGCTGCGTTTTCCCCCATTCATCTCTTTTGAAATAAACAGAATAAATTCATCCCAGTTCATTGCCTCTGAAATGCCTTGATTTTATGAGGCCTGTGGTACCGCCACACCGGGCTGGCTGTGCTTCCGCACTACCCCCTGATGTACGGCTCCTACAGGAAAAAGCTATCCAAGTCCCCACTATCAGTATCTTTAATCAGCCAGGTGATGCCTTCAAAGTGTTGAGGGAACGTGAGGAAATGAGCCTTTGTGCCAACACCCCGCAGGTCAGGGGTGCCTTTGTTTTTTGTCTTCGTGTTGCTGTTGGGGACAGCGAGACACCCCCGACGCAGCCGTACAGCGGGCTGGGGTACCGCGGGCTGTCGTTCCGCACGCTGACCTCGTTCTCCAGCCCTGGCTGCCGTCTGCCCGGCTCGGGGAAGGACGGGTGGCCCTGCTCCAGAGTCACCCCGGGCACCCCTCCGATTAGTGCAACAGTAGTCTGCCCCAGTATTTTAGCATTTAATATTTTTGTGTTCTGGCACTGGCAGCAGAGTATTTCATGGTGCTTTGGGAGGTGGTGCGGAAAAAGTCCAGACTAGATCCCTTTTAGGATTCCATTTGCAGATCTCCTCTGTGGTGAGCTATTTCCCTTCCCAGAGCATCTGATTCTTCTACCCAGCTGCTTCTGTCGTCTTTTCTGACTGCCAGCTCTGGAGCGTGCCGTGGTTTCTGCCTGGCTTATCCAAGGAGATCCTCTGCTTCTACAGCTAAGTCTGCAGAGAAACAGTGGGGTTTTTTTTCCCTTTGCGGCAAGCTACTTTAAACAGCGTAAGTTTACAAAACTCGCCGGTTAGCTTTCTGTGTCTGTAGCAGGAGCTTTGCTCTCCTGGTTAGTTGGCTTTGAGCGAAGGGGCTGTCGCGTTTCTGACCGTACAGGTGCGCGGCCTCTCTTCCTTTCTGTGTCTCTCTCGGGGTTTGTGCAGCGCCGTGTGCCGCCATCGATAATCTGGTGTCATGTAAATAAGCTGGCATCCAAAGGAGAAAGGGAAGAGTGGAACTGGAAAAAAGACTGGACTAGTCGGGGAGGAAATGAAACCAGCAGCACTGGGGAGTTACTGGAGAAGGAAGAGCAGGCAAAGGCAAAATTGGCAGGGAAAATATTAAGATCAAATCGATTAAGTACCTTATTAGCCTTAGACATGCAGAGAAAAGAAAATGATACGCATTAGCAGAAAACATGGAAATTCTGAGGTTTTGCTCAGTTCCTGCTAACGGCACATTAAAATGATTAATTATGAATTTTTCCATCAAATACCACGTAGCCGTTGGATCTTGTAAGTGTCTAGGTATATATGTAACGGCAGATTTTTCGGTGCAGAAAACGTTCTCCTGCCGTAGCCATTTTAATTCTAAAGAGCTGAAATGAGGGGATGCCAACTATCCTAGCCCGTTTCCGCTATGACAATTATTTGCTACATCTTTATCCGTAGCTTTCCGGTATTTAATTTGATCCCATTACTTCCAGTCCTCCTTCCTTCTATCTTCATTAATAATTTCTCGCCCTTCTTAAATGTTTACAGCACGGGGCACGGTCACCCCTTAGTTATCTGTAAACTAAGCCGCCAGCATTTAGCGCTCTTAATCCCTTCTTCAAAATTAATCGCCTCCTCGCCGCCCGTCTGCTGATGGGCTTTTTCAGTGCTAGAGGAGTGACAGAACGTCATTTTCAGTATTCCCCCAGAACACTAACCATCGCTCTTTGCATTTCATGGGAGGAATGTATTTCTTTCTTACGCAGTTGGTGCTTGCTTCAGAACTCGAAAACTATGTTAGGCAAAAAAACAGCGCTCGTCTGTCCTGAGGAGTCTGAACGGAGGGATCCAGCGCGTGTTTTCCACCTTCAGTTGTAGGCCCTTACTGGAAGCGCGTGACAGCTTCTGTCACAGCGTCCAGGCGTCGGGCAGCTGCTCTTCTCTCCGTATTTGCCAAAGAGACTGTAATAATGCAGTTGCCTCAGAACGGAGAGTTGTGAGGTTTAGCAATAGGTGTTTGTGGAGTGCTTTTGTAAATCTCCATCTGAGAGGCCGTGGAGCCTTGTCAGACCTGCGCTACCACAGGTCAGGGTTCTTTTACCCATAGGCAGGATATTGCGTGTAGCGCCCACCCAAAGAGCTTGATACGGTGGAAATACTGGACACACGTCGTATGGCCGAGAGCCGGTGCTGCAGGGCTGAGCCATCCAGAATGCGCTGTATCTGCCTGCACACGCTGTCTGCACGAAGGCTGCTTCAGCAGTGCACGCGGAGACATTGCAGAAACACTTGAAATCACTGGGAAGAGGCTGCAGCGTGGGCAGCCCGTCTGTCCCAGCTGCCCTAGACAAAGAGTCACAGTTACTGCATTTTGGCTGGTCAAACCTCCATGTTGAGAGGGTCACACCGAGGGGAGCGGGTGTATGGAAGCCATAAGCTTGGAATTTCTGTTTATCTTTCTTAGGGATGCCACCGGGTGGCACTGCTCCGGCCAGGCTCTGCCAGATGCAATTATGGTGAAGAATTAGAATAGTGACAGAGAAATGTCACCTCTGTTCTTTGAAATGAATCTTGGTCAGCAGCAAAGTTGCGTATCAAGGTGCAGGCTAGAGAAAGCCTGACTCAATAAAAACCCGCTTTACGCCGGTTGTCCTCTTCCTTCCTTTCTGTCTGTCTGTCTGTCTCCCCCGCAGATGGGCTTACAGCTCTCCCTCAAGGGAAGAGCATCAGTAATCAAGCTCTGGTAGCTTTGAAGAAACCTTTACGTGATTGAAAATGCCACACAGAGTTTCAGCTTCCTCGCGGCTCTGCATGCCGATCAGATGAGAGCATACAGGGCACTGTGAATGCAGCCCATGGCGTATCTCTGTCTCCCTAAACCGGTGTTTAATTAGGAACCGTGCTATTGCTGCGTTATTCTGGTCTCCAAGGAACTATGGCTGAGCTGGGATCACGGCGGTGTGAGCCGGAGGAGTTGTCCGAGGCAGCTCACAGCTTAACCCCGGCAAGGGTGTGGAATACAGGCCGAGGTCTGCGGGGGGACATGCCGCCGGGCTTACACCTTCCCCCCGAGCCGAGGAAAGCGCCGGGGCGGCCGCTCTGCGGGGTCCCCAAACTCTGCCGAGAGGGAGGCGTGTGCCAGCTCGGGCCCCTCTCCCGGTCTGACGGCGACATCGGTGTCCGGCCTGAGAGTGACTTTATTATAAAGTACCGCCGTGTTAGTGGAGCTGCTGACCCGTGTGAGCGATGCAGTTGCGTGGTTCGGCCTTGAGGACCCCCATATTTCGGCAGTCCGGTTTCTCAGAAAGGACGCCTTTACCGGTTCGGTCAGAACAAAAATCCTCCTGAGGAGGTTGCGGCTCGGGAAGGGCTTGGCCGCTCCCCGGCTCGGCGGGGCAGGGTCCGTCCCCCTCGGGGCGCCGTGGCAGGGCTGGGGGCAACCTCGGCGCGCTCCCGCCTCGCCGCTGCCCGCCGG